GCAAGGAGCTGCGCCAGGCGCTGATGCGGCAGTCTGGCTGGGACCCCGGGCCCGACGACTTCGTGGACATGCGCGGGGACCTCGGCGGAGACGCGATCTCAGGGTCGCACCGCCGCGTCACGACAGCGGCCACGCGAGAGCAGCAGGCGCGAGCTCAGGGCAGGAAACTCACCAGCCGGTTCCGCCCTGGCCTGGACCGTGCGAGGGTCTACCGTGCAGGTCCCACGGCCAAGGCCACCTGGGGTTCGGCCATCATGGGCGTCCCGAACGGCAGGCTGCGCCAGCTGCGCGTCGGGACGATCAAGGCGAGAGGGCGCTTGCCCCGTGGGGCCGCCTTGGGGCTGGCCAGCCTGGCCCAAGCGAATGGCTGGAAGCGGGGCCCGCTGACCATCGTCACCAGGACCGCGCCCATGGCTTACGTCGAGGTGATCTGGGCCTCGCTGCTGCCTGAGGCGGCAGCCCGCTCCTGCCTGGCCAGGAGCCTGGCGCTCGCCCAGCAACGGCATTCCTGGCGGCAGGTCAAGGACCCCATCAGCGCACTGCTCCTCACCTTGGAGCGTGTCGGCTGGGGCGTCATGCAAGGCGACCCCTTACCTGGTCCATGACAGCACGGGAGCCGCCTACGACGTCAGGAGGCATCCTCCTGCCTTCTTTGGCAGCCTGGTGGCGCAGCATTGCCGCGTCGCCATTGGGCTGGAGGAGGTGGCCAGGCAGGGCCCCAGCACGTGGGGCTCGAGCATCCCGCCTTTCTGGCAACCGATCCTCGATCTTGCCAATTATCGGTCTGAGGTTTGGGACCCGCACCACCAGCGGGCGCTGCGCAGCCTCATCCAGAACACCTACTGGTGCCAGGCCAGGGTCGCAGCGGCTGACAGCTCGCCCGCGGTGCCGTCCAATTGCCAGCTCTGCGGGTTCCAGGACGGCTCGCTCTTCCACAGGCGTTTTCGTTGCGAGGCGCGCGAGGCCTGGTGGCGTGACTACTTGGAGGAGCCGCTGCGCGGAGCCGCGGATCGAGTTGAGAGCCTGGGCGATCCTTTCGCCGACCTGTTCGCCAGGGGCCTCTTCCCTGACGTATCGGAATTGATGGGCAGGCCTGATCGGCCAGCAGCGGACCACTTTGATAGTTCGACGAGCTGGTACACTTTGGGGCCGCACCTCCACGGGCACCACGTCTTTGTGGACGGCTCGGGCCTCGACCAGGCCGACCCGCGCCTGCGCGCCGCGGGCTGGTCCGTGGTGGTCTTTGATGCGGCCCACCGGTTGGTGGCGGAGGCGTGGGGGGCGGTTCCGATCGCGGAAGCCCCCGAGCAGCTGGCCAGGGACGGCGAGGACAACGCCGTGAAGGTCCTCACGTCTCAGGTGGCAGGGGGCAGTTACAGGCTCTACGTTGACTGCATGGCCACGGTGCGCTGCGCGGCCAACCCGTCGGCGGCGGCCGCCGCCAGTTGCCAGCGAGCGCACCTGTGGGCTGGCCAGGCAGAGCAGCTGCAGGACGTGACGGTCGTCAAGATCAGGGCCCACTTGGGCCCCAAGGCCGTCGCAGACGGCCTCGTCTCGCAGTTCGAGCTGGATGGCAATGCTCGCGCCGACAGGCGAGCCCAGCAGGGCGTGGCTGCGGCCAGGGTGAACCCCGACGACATCCGCGTGGTCGAGGGCTGCCAGGCGCTGGCTCGCCAGGCGGCGCGGTTCGCTGCCGCGCATGAGGTGCAGCTTTCGCGCACCAACATGCTCGACTCCAGGGGCGTGGTGGCACTGAGGCTGATCGACCTTGGTGAGTGGCCGCAGTGGCCAGCTGAGTTCGAGGATGAGGTGGAGGGTGCCGACGTTGAGGCCGCGGCCAGCTCCCATGCGATTGTGGGGGGCACGCCGACGAGGCCCGACGTCGTGCCCGCTGGACTGCATCCTTGGCGCGTCGGCGGGCACGCTGTGCTCGCGGCGCCCATTTCTGTTGATGAAAGGGCGCGAGCGGCCCAGCAGTCCAGCGGCAGCCTCCTCTTTTGTACTACGTGCCGAGTGTATGTATCTGATAAACGGAGACGAGGCCTCCAGGATAAGTGTCCAGGAGGCCCGATCCCCAGTGCCAAGAATCATAATTCCGCGTTGAAGCACGTGAAGCATCCCAAAGGGAACAGGCTTCTTGGGAGTTTGCGGTCGCTCTTTGAGTCCGAGATCAATTTTGGTCTGGGCATTTTTCCCCCGAGCCTCCAGTGGTGGCCCAAACGGGTGCCCCGACGGCTGGCCCTAAGAGGCCCAGCGTCCTGGAAGTCTTGTCCCCTTTCGGGCTTCAGCTGGTCGAGGCCCAGCGGTTGGGGTCCAGAGCCCTGGAGGCCAGGGCAGAGGCCCAGGCCCGTAGGGCCCGTGGTGTTTCGGGCCCCGAGGACCCCCTTGACTTCTCAAGCGTTGCCCCTGGCGCGGCCGTGCCAGGCTGGGGCTGAGTCTGGGAGGCTTGGGTGGTCCCGAGGGTCGAATTCGTTTGCAAAACACTTTTGGGTCGAGTCTAGCCTCCTCCTCCTCCTCCTCCTCCTCCTCCTCCTCCTCCTCCTCCTCCTCCTCCTCCCCCCCCTTCTCCTCCTCCTCCTCCTCCTCCTCCTCCTCCTCCTCCTCCTCCTCCTCCTCCTCCTCCCTCCTCCTCCTCCTCCTCCTCCTCCTCCTCCTCCTCCTCCTCCTCCTCCTCCTCCTCCTCCTCCTCCTCCTCCTCCTCCTCCTCCTCCTCCTCCTCCTCCTCCTCCTCCTCCTCCTCCTCCTCCTCCTCCTCCTCCTCCTCCTCCTCCTCCTCCTCCTCCTCCTCCTCCTCCTCCTCCTCCTCCCCCCTCCCCTCCCCCCCCCTCCTCCCTCCTTCTCCCTTTCCCCCCCCCGCCCCTTTCCTCCTGCCTCCTCCTCCCTCCTCCCCCTCCTCCTCCTCCTCTCCTCCCCCCTCCTCCTCCTCCTCCTCCTCCTCCTCCTCTCCTCCTCCTCCTCCTCCTCCTCCTCCTCCTCCTCCTCCTCCTCATCCATCCTCTTTCTACTCCTCGTCCTCCTCCTCTTCCTCCTCCTCCTCCTCCTCCTCCTCCTCTTCCTCGACCCTCCTCCTCGACCCGCGAGACCCACGGGCCCACAACAAGGCCCGGGGGTGCGGCGCAGGCGGTTCGTGGGAGTTCGCGCGTCAGAGGCGGGCTGGTCGAGACCGCGTCAGTTGGCCTTGTCTCAAACCTGCACCAGGGCCCCGTCCCCGCGGGCAATACTTATGTCCATATCCAGTGCGCGTTGGGTTTTCTTGGGGAAGGCGCCGCGAGGCCGATGCGCACCGAATGTGGATTAACATCGAGCCTTCGGAGGCCAGATCGTGATCCATGTCCAGCGCGCCTCATGCTTCTGGGGAAGAGGACCCGGAACTTCAAAACGCACTGCTTGTGGATATAGGCGCTGCCCGCACTCCCCGCGGTGCGCCGCGCGCTCAGCGCGCCAGTGTGAGGGGCGCAGGGCATATCCACCCACCAAATCACCCCAACCCAACCCGGAGGCCCCAATTTGCCCTCCATTTCCAGTGTGGGGGGGTCGGGGAACATTGAAAAAACAAACGTAATCCGTACCCCCCCCCCCAACCCGAAATTCGGGTCAAATTCGGGTCTTCGCGTTGGGTTGGGGTGGTTTCGTAGGTAGTCAGGGCAAATCCCAGCAATCTGCGCGGCCCTCGGGATGCTTGGCGTGGCCTGCAGCTGCCGTGCTCTGTGTCCCGGAGGGACAGCTTGTGCGGAGGCGGCCGGCGGAGACACAGCGGCATAGTTTTGGCCGTCGGAGGGCCCCCTCGCCAACCACGGCCAGAGGCGGCTCGGAATATCGGGTTCGTTTGGATCCCGTGAGGGGTCCAGGGACTGATTTGAATCGGGGGCCCCCGAACGGTGCGGTGACTACACCGTGCGGTGAGTCGGTGGGGATTCCCGGGTCACCGCGCGGTTTTGGGGTTTGAGTCCCTCTCCGAGGATGTCGCGGGCGACAGGGGCCTCCCGGGTCCCAAAACCGTACGGTGACGGACCGTGCGCTGAGGTCTCCTGGGGTTCCAAAGTCACCACACGGTCTGTCACCGCACCGTTTCGGGACTCCAGATTGAAGTCGGGCCTGCCCCTGTACAGGAGGAGTATACCACAATAGTGACAACAATAGTCGGGGGGCGATGCTTGCACTATTTGTCGGGCATTGTTTTGCACGTGTTGGCTATGTGTAGTTCCCCTCCAAGATCTGCCCGCAGGGAGATGTGCCCGACCGAAGACTGCTTCAGAGCTGCCGTTGTCTCCGGTTGCCCTGCACCGACGATGGGATTGGCCCGCCGTCGTGGGACCGACATCCGCTCCGGCACGTCTGCCGCGGTCTCGACACGAAGTCCCCGGCGGGGACAGATCGCCATCTTCGAGTCGATGTCCTTGGCGTCGTTCTTTGATTCGGCGTCTCGACATTGGGCGGAAGTGGGGCGGGGAAGGGGCGGGGTCTGGCTCCAGACCTTTGCTCAGCGCAGCTGTCTGCGACAGGGCGTCCGGTGGGGAGGCTCCACCTGCTTGAAAACAGGCTCCAAAAGCATCCAAGATCCACTCCATGAGGGGGGGGGGGCGGGGGCCCGCGCCGATCGGCAAAAAAATGATTGAACAAAAACGACCACCGGGCGTGTGCCCAGGATTTGTGTCACCGCGCGTGGCCTGGGGTTGCTCGATTTCCCTCCCCCCCTCTGGAGGCCGCGATCCTCGAGAGGGGTGTCAAAAATTGGCCCTCCCAGGGGCCGAAGAAGGACCCGCTGACACATCGGCCCCCCTCCAAACAGACCTCAGGGAGGGGAGGGGGACGGTTCCCTTCCCCGACCCCGAAGGGAAGAGGAGGAGCCGTGCAAGATGAAGGAGACCCTCGTCAGACCACTTGTCGCCCAAAGGGCTGGCGGGATCATCTCTGGCATGTGGTCCTCAAGCGCGGCGGGCGCAGCAGAAGCCAAGATTTACGAACGTCATCGGACCCGGTGTCTTGGAGTCTCCCGGCAGGCCTGGTGCCGCCGGCGCCGCCGATGGCTGCGGGCCCCTGGCGGAGGCGGGTTTCGGGCGCGCTCGTCCTCGTTGTCGTTCCGCCCCCTCGGCCGCGTCGGCTTCGTCGTCGTGGCCGACGTCGTCGTTGTGGTTGCGCCCCCCCCGTCGCGTCACATTCTCTTCCGCACTGTTCCTCATCGCTCTGATCCTCCCCCTCGTCGCCATTAGGTTGTCATCCCTAATGGTTCATTTCATTCCGCCTTCCGCCCACCATGATCCTTCTCGTCCTCATCCGTCCTCCTGGTTCCCATCGCATTCCTCGTCTTCCCATCTCCCTCCTCCCATCTCTTCATGCTCCTCCTTACCCTCCTGCTCCTCCTCACTTGATCCTCTCAGTTCCTCCATTCCTTCCTCATCCGTGCTGGGTTATCCTCAGTTTGCTCCTTCCCATCCCCCATCTCCATATATCCCTTGTCCCGTATCGCCCTCTGTCTCCTCCTCCTCCTCCTCCTCCTCCTCCTCCTCCTCCTCCTCCTCCTTCTCCTCCCGTAACCTCATCCGCCCCCCATCCTCCCTCCTTTCCCGCCCATCATTTTCCTCTCACTCCAGCTGTCCACACTCCAGCCCGTGTCCTCTCTCTCTCGAAGCCACTCTGTTGGCGTCCGCGCTCGATCGTCGAGGAGTTGGGCGGTATATCCTCCCGCGATGTCTTCTTCTCTTGCTGCTTACTCTCCCTCCCTCCTACGGTCTTGGAATCCAGTGCCCCTCTGTTGTGAGGCAGTTCTATAGGAGGGGGGTACAGAGGGCAGGGTGTTTACACAATTGGGAGGAATCAGTGAATTCAGCATGGGGCGGGCTTGAAGTGCCTCGAAAATACGCGCACCCCAACCGTCAGCATCTGGTATACATGTGGATCACATTTATGGTGCTTTCCGTCGTCCTCCTCCTCCTTGTTCCCTCGTCCTCCTGTCTCGCCCCCTGGACGGGGGTCGAAGGGTCCGCGGCTCGGGCGGGAGAGCGCCCATTGCCCCCCATTGCTCCTCGTTCCGTTTTTTTCTTTGCCTCCCCGCTCCATCATCCGTCGATTCACCTCGTCCGCCCTCCTTGCTCGAAGGCAAGCGAGGTCCCTGGAGCCGCGTGCCCGCGTTGGCATTATACCGCCCGTTCGATGTCCGAGCGCAGCGACGTAACCAAGTACAGGGTGCCAAAGCAAGTTGTCGGGGAGCACTTCAAGCGTCGGCGGCTGCGGCCGCCAAACACAAACGCATCGCGAGCATGTGAAACCGAACTTATACATGCCCCCGGCAAAGCCCACCCCCGTGCCAGCGCAGCTGTTTGTATGGCGACGCTTGAGGTTATGCTTGTTCAGAGGTCCGTGACATGTGACACTTGTCGTGTTATCGGACTGCTGCGGGGCCTTCTTGCGGGTCCATCGGGGCCCTCTAGGGACGTATTCGGGACAGATTCGGCCGCCTTGGCGCCGCAGCCCACGGTGGCCGCCCTGGGCCAGGGAACTGTGTATTCGCAGCCCCCCCAGGGCCGCCCTGGGCCAGGCAAGTGTGTATTTGCATTCCTCCCGGGCTGGGCATGTCGATCTCGATTCTGGTTTGGCAAAGTAGGGGCACATTCGAGGTGGCGAGCGTTCACCTTTTTGAAATGCACAGATCAATGTGTGATCTGTGTACACAGATTGCGTCGTCAACTGTGTAATCGCGTGCGCGGGTCCACTGTTTACACACATCGTGGTGTGATCTGTGTACACCGACCTTGTTCCCATCTGTGTATTTGGAGTGTGCTCCTCGCGGGTGGTGGCGATTGGGCGGGGACATTCGCATTTCTCTCGGCTGGTCCAGGGGGGGCGTTCTACGCTCGCGAGATACACAGTTCGTGTGTCAAACTGTGCATTTGCCCCGCGCTACTCGCTGGAGTCGCCACTGGGTGGGAATTTCCGTGGATCTCCCGGCTGGTCCAGGAGGGGGCCGTGGTTTGGGAGGGCAGACGGCGCGGGGGTCAGGGATGAGGGGGCATGGGAGGGAAGGGATTCGAGAGGGTGGGTGGCGAAGGGGCCGGGGGATGAAAGGGGGAGGAGGAGAGGGGCGTAAATGGGCCCAGGAGGAGTTGCAGCCTCGGTTTCAGCATCACGGGGACGAGGAAAGTGAGGGTGGGCAAACGGACGGGGGATGCGCTGCACCAGGGCGCAGGGGAGGGGAGGAGGGCAAGGATACGGATGATGGGGGAACGCGCAAGGCGGAGGAGGACGAGGAGGGACGACATGAAAGGGCATTGGAGAGCGCGAGAACGAGGAGCGGGAGGGGTATCAGGAGGGGGAGGAATCGCACGGACATGGGGAGGATGAGGTGAAGGCACGGGAATGCGGGAGGAGGCGGGGGACGGGGCATGAGGGCGAGGCGGTTGCCAGCTAACGCTGTGTTAATCGGTGTTTCGCGTGTCCGTGCACCCCCCCAGAAACTAGTTACCGGTTGCAGAACTGCGCTATTTGGGTAGTCGCGCGCGACGTGCGTCTAGGCCAAAGGCTCGCGTCTATGACATTCCTTGGCGTCGCGTTGATGCCGTCCTTCTTCAACAAACTGCATATGCACAGATTGGCTGAATCTGTGTTTCAACGTTTGCCTCATAGCTTCCTCTATAGTAACAGACCAACGACGGAATCCAACTACGGTCCATTCCTCGGGATCGGTTCCTGATCTTGAGTCGTTGATAGACGGTGCCGAGGCCCTGTAAGGGCCCGCGCAACCCGCAAGCAGCGACAAACATTGCCGTCGTGATTTCCTCATGACCCGAGGGCGGCTGGGTCCCTCTCTCCCTCCCTCTCACATCCTCCTTCTCCTCCTCCCCCCCCCCATCCCTCCTCCTCCTCCTCACCCTCCTCCTCCTCCTCCTCCTCCTCCTCCTCCTTGTCCTCCTCCTCCTCCTCCTCCTCCTCTTCCTCCTCCTCTCCTCCTCCTCCTCCTCCTCCTGTCCTCCTCCTCCTCCTCCTCCTCCTCCTCCTCCCCCTGTCCTCCTCTCCTTGCCTCCTCTCGTGCCGCCCCTCCCCCTTCCGGCCGCCCTCCGCCCCCCCGCCCCCTCCGCTGCTCTCCGCCCCTGTGCCGCGTCTCCGTTGACGTCGCCGCTCGTCGTCGCCCGTCGTCGTTCTCGTCGTTGTTGTCGTTCTCGTCGCCATCGTCGCCGTCGTCGTCGTCGTCGTCGGCTTCGTCGTCGTCGTCGTCGACCTCGTCGTTTTCGACGTCGTCGTCGTCCGCGTCCGCGTCCGCGTCCCCGTCGTCGGCGTCGTCGTTGCCATCCGCCATTCTCGTCCTGTCGTCGTCGTCGACCTCGTCGTCGTCGTCGTCGTTACCCTCGTTGCCCTCGTCGCCCTCGACGTCATCGTCGTCGTCGTCGCCACCATCGTCGACGCCGATGGCGTGGCCCCCTCCTCGTCGTCCGCTTCGGCGCCCGACCTCTCCGCGGAGGTGCCCGGCCGGCCCCCGGTGGCGCGCGACTGCGAGTGGTGCCCCTGGCCGCCCCGTCGGGGCGACGCCCTGGCCGAGGCGCTGAGGCCTCGCTGCGGGCGCCGTCGTCGTCGTCGTCGTCGTCGTCGTCGTCGTCGTCGTCGTCGTCGTCCTTCTCGTCGATCTCGTCATCGGCGCTCTGCTCGTCGACCTCGTCCTCGTCTGGCCCGTGAGCCGAGGTCCCAGGCAGTGCTCCTGGGGTCAGAGCTCTGTAGAGAGTCCTGGCTCGACCTGGCCCCTGCGTTTTTGCCCTGAGTGGGTCAACCTGGTCTTCTCGCTTGGCTGTTCGACCTCGTCCCCATCGTCCTCGTGGTCGTCAGGCTCAACGTCGGTGCCTTTTTCGATGTCAACGTCTGCGTCCTCGTTGTCCTTCTGGATCCCGACCCAAGACTACGGAACGAAAGAACCAAGATCAAGGCAAGGAACCAAGGAACCAAGACCAAGGAACTCGGGCAAGGCCTCGAAAGGGAACATTGCCGGGGACCCCCGAGGAAACCTGTTGTAAGGCAACAAGGCCGAGACACCTCGAGGAACCCCGGCGCTAGCGGGTATGCTTCTTCACAAACAAATATCGGGGGAGCGTAAGACCCGGGTTTGCCGGGACTCGGGTTCGCCACCGTGTTTTGACGACCGCGCCTCGGATTTTGACGAGGAGGAGTTTCGTGGGATGTCTGCAGCGGGAGGCCTCGTCAAAATGCAGGCTCGGCCTCGTCATTTTTTTGACGACCTCGTCGGGGATTTCCGAGTCCCCCGTACCCGGGTCTTACGTCTCCCCGAAAATAAGAAACCTTGTGGCAACGACTCTTTAGGGAAACGATCGCGCCAGAGAGAGAGAGAGAGAGTGATTCGTAGTATAGAGAGCACTCTGTTCAGAGTACCAGAAAGGAAGACACCGTTAGGCAGACCATCCGGGAGACCACGGTCCACGAGAGACCATGCTGGAGACCACAGGGGAAACCACGAAGGGCTCACAACAGTAATATTTGTATGTTTACTCATTTTATAAATCTGTACACCTACATACACTCATACACTCATACATACATACATACATACATGCATGCATGCATGCATACATACATACATACATACATACATGCCTACTTACTTACTTACTTACATACATACATACATACATACACATACACATACACATACACATACCCACACATTTATAAACATACGTACACATACATACACATACACACACTCATAAACATACATCCACATACATGCACATGCATACACATGCATACACATGCATACACATGCATACACATGCATACACATACATACACATGCATACACATGCATACACATACATACACATGCGTGCACATACATACACACATACACTTTCATACACATGCATACATACAAATACAACTCCCTCTATACATATAAGCATGCATATGTTTGTGTGTACACACCTACATGTAACATGTATATAACAAAGGATGCGTATACGTATGAATATCATGCGGGAGACTAGACGGGAGACCACGGGCCACGTCACACCGTAGGAGTGAGCATGCGGGAGGCCACACGCCTCCGCTTCTGGCTCCAGAAGGGGCTCCACGCCCGGCGTCGGAGTCTACGTTGGGACCCTTGCAGGCCGGATGCCCAGGGAAACGTGACCACAAGTGTCATGACGAAAAATAACAAATACCCCAAAAGTAGCCCAAAAAGACAACACATATTCAAACAATAGTCCCCAGACTATTTTTGGATCATGTTTTGATTATTTTTGGGATACTTTTAATTTTTCATCGAAAATGCCCCTGTAGGGGGACAGGCCCGACTTGACACAAGTGTCAAGTTCTGGAGGAGGGGGGGCGTTCGGCGACACGAGGTGCGCTCAAAGCCGTCTTCGACCGCTGGTTGCAGAAACATGTCAGGAGCCTCCTGGAATCTTTTCAGGACGTTTCTCTGGATCATCTCAGAAGCTTTCAGAGCTCATTGTCAAGCAGTGGGCCTCATGCCGGCAAACCCCAGGAAAACTCCTAGGTGTCCATGTTTCATGCCTCATGCCTCATTCTGGCAAACCCGAGGTGTCCATGCTAACGCCCTACCCTCGTTTTCCCCTTCTGGGCCTCCTGGGAGGCACTCATGGGTATGGGGCCCGCGCCAGACGGACTTCCCCAGGTCTTGTTGTTTTGGTTCCTTGGTCTGTTTTTTTGTTGTTCTCTTCCTCGGGCTTCTTAGTCTTGACTCTTTCGTTTATTCGTATTGGTTTCTTGGTTTCTTGGTATAGTTTTTGCTGCGTGGTTTTGGTGCATGATTTGGTTCCTTGGGCGTGGTTCCTTGCTATCTCGCAACGCGATGCCAAGCAATTCAAGGCAATGCCAGGCCAGGTCACGCAATGGCGTTCAATGCCAAACACGGCCAACCAGTACAAACGAGGAGTGCAAACAGCAACACCAAGCAATGCTGGGCAATGCCAAGCAATGGAAAGACATGGACAAAGCAATGCCACATGCAACATTCAGCGTTGCCCAGTCCTGCAGCATGCAGTTGTCCCACAGTGTGGGCGCGCATATTCCGTCTGTATGAGGCCATCTCTCGGAGCCTCTCATGAGATGCACGTTCAGGGGCAGCAGACATGCCCCTCAGCTGCGCGGATGTAGCTTTCGGTTCCACGCGGGGTCGGTTGTCGTTGGGCAGCCCCCCCGCGTGGTAGCGCCGCACCTCGCCGCGCCGCGCACGGCTCGACAGAACGGAGGGCCGCTCCTGCGGCGCGCGGAGCGCTCCCCTCCACGGCAGGCCCGTGGGGCGGTCGCCTTGCAACGGGGGCGCTCCGCGCACTAGCAAGGAACTCGGAGTGGACTCCAATAGCAAGGAGTGGACTTCGATAGCAAATCATGGGAGCGAGGAGTGGACTTCGACAGCAAATCATGGGAGCGAGGGGTGGACTTCGACAGCAAATCATGGGAGCGAGGAGTGGACTTCGACAGCAAATCATGGGAGCGAGGGGTGGACTTCGATAGCAAATCATGGGAGCGAGGGGTGGACTTCGATAGCAAATCATGGGAGCGAGGAGTGGACTTCGATAGCAAATCATGGGAGCCCTGCGTACCTTCTGTAATGATGCCTTCATCGTCGATTCGCGTCCATTGGCGTCTGGGAGTCGACGAGATAGCGCCAGTCTAGCGTCGACCAGCGTCGATTTAGCGTCGACGAGCGTCGATTCGCAAGGGCCGACAAGATGGTATGGGAGGGCCGACAAGATCAACCACCGACGCGGACGTGGGATGGGAGGGTGTGTTGCAGCATCGTTGACGCACCCTGGGCCTGATCGAGAAGCGCGCGCCGTTCCGCAGACCGCCAGGCGATGAGGCGTGCGGCCTCCAGTGTCGCACGTGCTGTTCGCCGTGTCCCGTCGTGCTGCCTGCGAGCAGTTGTCGATGATTCGTCCTAGTCCATCCTCCTCCTCTTCCTCTTCATTCCTCCTCCGTCCTCCTCCTCCTCCTCCATCTCCTTCTCCTCTTCCTCCTCCTCATCCTCCTCCCTCCTCCTCCCTCCTCCTCCCTCCTCCTCCTCCTCCTCCTCCTCCTCCTCCTCCTCCTCCTCCTCCTCCTCCAGCCGTTTCGGGGCGAGCACGAGGCTCGCTCGTGCGGGTGCATACTTCGAAGCGGCGTGCCCCCGCGGGCCGATGGCGAATGGTGCTGCTGGAGGCGCACGCGGCGCCAGCCAGGGTGGCGACCCCTGGACGTGCAACGCATGTGCAGCTGGCTACAGCAACATGGCGTGGCGCACGGTGTGCAGGCTCTGCCAGGCGGCGCGGCCGCCGAGAGGTGCTGGCACGATCGGCGACGCCATCGACAAGGCCAAGAAGGTCAAGGCCAAGATGAAGGCGAAGGCCGGGGCGAAGCGGGTGCGGTTCGCCTCGGATGGGCCTGGCCCGTCCGCCGCCGCGGCCACGCCGGCGCCGTGGGCGCAGGGCGCGGCCAAGCAGGCGGCCGTGGAGAAGCCCAGCAGCGGCGGCGGCAAGGACGAGGAGGTCCGCCTGGCCCTCCTCCGTCACTTTGGCCCCAGGGAGGGCTGGTCGGCGGCCCTGGTCCAGGACTTCGGGTCCCTGGTGCCCGAGGCCGACGTGCCGCCGCCTGCGAAGCCCTTGGCCGAGCTGTCTCTCCAGGCCCTCCTGGCCAGGGAGGCGAAGGTCAAGGGCCAGGTCGACCGTGCCGAGGCGATGTTGGCGGCGGCCAAGGAGGAGCAGGAGGCCGCCGCGGCGCGCGTGGCGGAGCAGGTGGGCGTCCTCCAGAAGCGCCGTGACCAGCTGGAGGAGGTGGCCGAGGCGGTGCGCGCCAGGAAGCGTGCCGACCTGGCGCAGCGCACAGGCCCGTCGCCCATAGAGGTGGGCGAGCCCGAGGAGACGGGCGACCTGGGCAAGGCGCTGCTCAAGAGCCTCGAGGGCCTCGAGGCGGAGCGGGAGCGGGCGTTGCAGCTCGGGGAGGACGGCGACGCCCTGCTCGCGATGGCCGCGGAGGCCCGCTGCCTCGTGGAGAAGCTCGCTGCCGCCGACGCCCGCGCCCGCGAGGCAGCGGCGGCCGAGCGAGCCCGTGCGGCTGCTGCTGCCGCCGAGCGGGCCGCCGCCGCGCAGGAGGCCGCCCCCGCGGCCGCAGGCGAGGTGGATGGCGCTGCTGGTCCTCCTGGAGACCGCAAGCGCGTTGGTGACCTCGGCCTGGGCCCAGAGCTCGACGGGCTCGATGCCTTGTTCGACGAGGTCGGCATGGAGGACGAGCAGCAGCGGGAGGACTGGCGCGCAGCGTTGGCCAAGCGCCAGTGAGTGGCAGGCCCAGCCTCAGGGTGGCCGCCCGCAGGCGGTGGACGTGGTGGAGCTGGTGTCGGCCAACACCACCGCGTGGGGCTCCGCGCAATCGCTGGTCGAGTGGCTGCACGACGGCGTGGGGCGGCTGCCCGAGGTGCTCTGCCTCCAGGAGCACCGCCTCAAGGGCAAGCAGGCGGTGGCCCGCGCTGCGGGCTGAATGCAGGCGCGTGGCTTCAGCTGGCACGGCCAGGCCGCGATGGCGACGGGCCCTGGGCCGCT